CCATTCAACTTGTACTGAGGGAAACCATGGAAAAGCTCAGTTGTGCAGCCAACCAGTAATACAGGGATTCTGCTGTGTTCATCAGTCACACTGCCTGGGTGAATACAGCAGTTCTCTGCATGCGTGCTTAATACTAGTAGTCCCACGCCGTGCACTGTAACTAAGTGGATACCTATCCAAGTACTAACTCGTCTAAAGGTCGCTTAGCTTGGGCGACCGCCGGAGTTACCCACTTCCCTCGTGGCTACTACCGCCTCTAGTATTATAATTATTACTTAATAAGATTTGCTAATTATTATTATAGCTTTACTTGATGGACTTGACTTTGCCATTTAATCCTTAGTGAGTCTTGGCAACCAACATTCGGCCAGAAAGGGGTTTTCCGAAGCTTGGCATGCCAGTGCAAAGCCGTTCATTGGCCGTGAGTGGGTCGCCAAGGCTTGGCATGTCAGCCCACGGTTGATGTAGGGTCGTAAATGGGTCACCAAGGCATGGCATGCCAGTTTACAGCCGATATATGGCGGTGAATACGTCGCCTAGAATTGGCATGCCAATTCACGGCCGATATTTGGCCACGAGCGGAGACTCGACCGAATGAACAGCGCCGGCAATTCGGTGCCGGGTCTTAGATTATGAATATGATTTTCTTAAATAATTAAAATATCGATATGAAAATTGTGGAAAGTATTGATAATTACAAATTCTTAGAATTAAAAAATAATAATATATGTATATATTTGTATATAGTATATAGTATGTAGTATGTATAATTTTTTATCAAATGAATTTAACAAAAAAATCGATTATTTCATTGTTTTTAAATTGAATTTCACTAATGGAATTCAATATATTAGTTATATATTTTCATTATAAAATGAAAAAGTATACACGAAGACTATATTGAATATATTATTTATTCATGGAATACTTTCTGTTTGCATGTGCAAAGTGCGCACCAAGTGCTAATTTATTAGCAAAAACTGCTGAAAAATTGGAATGAAATGAAGCGATTTGATTCGTTTAATTATAGGAGAGGGCTGAGAGATGAGGAAGAAGAGAAGGGAGAACAAAAAGAGTAAATGGCTGCGCATGCGCTGTGTAACTGAACGAACTTTGAGTTGGCGCGGGGCATATTGAAAACTTACAGCATGTGCCTCTTCAACTCAGTCGCGCGCCAGCACTCGTTCGGTTGGTTTTATTTCGTTTAATTTTCGTTACTTTTTTTTTTATTTTGACCCTAATTGACCAGAGTGTGGATGGCATGCAGAGGTTTTTTGTAATTTTTTGGTGACTACTATTGTTGAAAATGTCTTTCTTTGAAAGAGATTATAAATTGATAAATAACTCGAGTTTACGTTGGAATTATTGATTTAAGAGTGTTGTGGAGAGTACAACTATTGGAATATCATAAGCTCGAGCTATAGACACGTGGAAGTACTATAAAAGTGGTTATAATTGAACGTTCGAACTTGATGGAGTTTAGTTTGATAAACTTTGAGAAATATTTGGATTATTTTTAATATTTAAAAGTGTGATGAGTGAGTGAGTGATAATATGGAATCACCAGTAATGTACGAGGCTGCTCACCAGGGACCGGGCACGGCGGAGCTCAAGAAATCTGTCGTTCTAACAAACAATAATAATAATAATAATACTAATAACAACAATAACTCGGCACTCCAAGTGAATCATAATCAACAGACGAGTGTCGCTGTAAGTAAAGTTTCAGCGAGTAAAGCTACTTTGCACCAACAGTATGCTGAACACTGCGCAGCAGCAGGTGAACTAACGGATCTCAACACACCGGAGATATCGCTGGATCTACAACACCTTATCGATGATTCTCACTTCAATGACGGTCTCCTCGATATGCTTGGCGCCGGTAATGCTGGAGTCAAACATGGAAGAACGACTGGATACCCAAGGACAACTCTGGCGTATATGCCCCAACCCGTACACAGCGGTGCAAGTTATCATCAGGGTAGCAACAGTTGTAGTGACAGCAATAGCTCAAGTTCTGAATCACCAAGTATCAAAGAGGAGCCAGTAGATCCAGCGGATTACAGACGTCACTGTCCCCAATATCCACCTGCTGGTTATAGTCCTGCTAATGGCTCTTTTTCCAATGGAGGACCTACCTTTACGAATCTCACACCATCCACTGTACCAGGTGCTCATCCTGTACATCATCAGCATCCTCAACAACCTCAGAATCATCAGCAACAGCAAAGAGGAGTGATGAAACCTGTAATGACACATCAACATCAAGCAGCTGCTGTGGCGGCTGCAGCTGCTGTTGCTAGGAAACAATCCAAATCAGTGGACAAGGCTAGCGACGAGTATAGACGAAGACGTGAACGGAACAATATTGCAGTTAGAAAAAGTCGAGAAAAGGCAAAAGTACGTTCGCGAGAAACAGAAGAAAAAGTTAAATTACTTGTCAAGGATAATGACCTACTTAAGAAGAGGATCGAATTGCTTACGGAAGAGCTTAATGTGCTCAGATCACTCTTCAGCAGTGTTGGCGTGGTCCCGGAACAACTGCACCGAGAAATATCGAGGCATTTGGATCAGTTTCAGCAACATGCGGTTGGGCCAATGTAGCATCGATAACATTGTGTTTATTTTAGATTATTAAAAAAAAAAGAATTTTTTTTCTTTTTTTTCAATTATGAATTCGTTTATTCTTTGTTGATGAAGGATGCTCGTATTGACCTTCACAGAATTATTGGAAGATGCATGTTCGATCGTGTGAGATGTCGGTAATGTGTTGAAATCAGAATTTAATTTAATTTAATTAATTATCGGCGACAAGTTATCCAATAGATACATCCGGGAGAAGAGAAATTGTCTTCCAGTGGAATCAGCGTATGGAACATTTCATTGATTGTGTTTTCCCTAAATTCATAAATTTCATTCGAAGAGATTCTTTTTCTCTGTGACCGCTACGTTTTGATCTCCTAATGAAGACTTACGTTGACATTTCTTTAATTAGGCAGCAGAAATGAGATGAGTTTATCATGAATTTTCTTGTTTCTAATTGTAGTTATATCCGGTATGTTTGTAAAACAACAAAATTATCACAGCGCAAGACTGGAGACAGGATTTTTTCAACCTGTCCGAAGAAAAATATAACAAAAGATTGTAAAATTTTGGGATACTATCTATAATTTTGACAAA